CTGTGGAACAGCATTTGACCTACTACATTCTGTACCCTCAACTTCATCTGCGGCTTATCTATGCGTCGCGTAATTTTGATTATTAAGTGGCACTTAATTTAGTAGGCGTGCGCTTCGCCTTTTCCCAAATCGACAAAATATTGAAATTGACAGCCAGCTGAGCCGGCCTAGCGCAGTCCGACTGGAATCGAACAGGTTCGAGTAGTTGGCTTACTGGTTTTTCGTTTTCTATTAGCCGCTGGCGGCCATTAGGGAAATGCCAGTAGCTGAATGACTATCGATTAGGAAATTCATGATATATCTGTATCACTTAGCCAAGCGAAAGGTTTTTCTATTTACACAGAAGCGTGTGACAACGCAAACAACTTGTTGACCAACACTGGCGGCTTTTTTAATTGATTCAGATTCTAGAATATATATAAAGCATATTATCCATTTAAGTTTGTAAAAAATAAATCGCTTTTAACTGTGAATGATTCAAAATTCCAAATATTGAAAGAGATCCAAGTAGAAGTGGCACTACTTCAAAGATAAATATTTTTACAGTTATTTAAGTTATTGATGATATTTAGTATATCCAAGTATTTAGTATGATTTGCCATTTAATTATCAGTTAATTAAATTTGCTTAGTAATTGAAAATAATTCAATCAAAGTCAATTGTCATCGTGGCCTCATGGACAACTTTGAGCTTTCATTGAATTGTGTAACGAGGCAAACAGTTCACAACTTGTTGACCAACACTGGCAGTTAAATTTAATTCATAAAGCTTCTATAATATATACGTAAACATTTATATATTCATAATTCATAGTTACATTTGTAAACAGAAACCGATTTTGCTTGTAAATAACACAAAATTAAAGATATTTAGGGTGGTCCCATAAGCGTGAGATTATTTTCAAGAAATATATATCAGCACTTTCTTAATTTATTGCTAATACTCAATAGCTTAAAATATTTAATATATCTATCTGTGCTAGTAACCTGGCTTGTAGCACTGCCAGCCAAGTGCAGTTGGCCAATTGAAACATGGGAAATTGCATGCACCCAGACATAGATATTAATTCAAAATAAAAGCAAACACAAGAAATCATCTTAAGCCATTTTAGCTCTATTGCAATTTCTTGCACTATTACTCTTATTTGGCCAACCCATCATTGTATTACTTACGCAATCAAAGGCCTTGAGCTGATTTTGAAACGCAATAAGATGTATAGTTTATTGCGTGTAATAAGAGTTAGATTTCTAAATATTTAATGTGTTCATAAATAATTAAAATTGCTTTTAGCTTACACAATAAAATAATCAAAGTGTGTGCAGAATTTGATGGCCTTTTGTAGTCTTAGAATTATAAATAAAGACAATAAATCAATCAAAAAAGAATTTGCAATTGAATCACTTTGAACTTAAATTATTTAAAACGAAGACTTAAGCCTAATAAATTATTTAAATATACACAAAACTTTACAAAACTTTGCGAAACATTAAAAATCTTATCGAAAACATATTTAATTTCAGTCAAGTAAAAATATTTTGATACATTAAGCCGTGCGGCTGGAGAGGCCAGCACGTTTAACTTGGCAAATGTTGGCCTAATCAGTGGAAAATGTTTTCAAAACATTGCGGAGTGCCTCATCAGTTGTGGGTTGTTGGCCAAATGGGTAAGTGGGTGAGCCAGGCGACAGGCAAAGCAACTACAACATGGAGATAAACAACAGGCGCACCGCAACAATAACAACGCCGCCCACTGGGCGACTGTTTCGAACTTAGCTCTCTGCGCTCTTTGCCTGTTAACAGCGTGAATATCGTAAGTTTCGAAATGTCGAAAGTGCCTAAGAGCGCGCCAAGTTTAAGAGAGCGCGCCAAAAGAGAGCGAGTTCGAAAATGCGCTGGAGAGCATGGCATGGGAGTCGGTGCTGTTGTTGTTGCTGTAGTCGTGGCTGTTAATGCCTTCCTCGTCGTCGTTATGTGCGAAAGTCACGAACATTTGCAGTCGTACAACGAAAATGTGTATGTGCCACAGTGGGCGAGTGTGTGAGCGTGTGTGCGTGCGAGGTGCTCGTGTGTCGGCATGTGCAAAACTCGCGGATGTAGATGTAGGCCAATGGGTAGTCGACGACGACTACAAGTACACGAGCAAAGGACTACAAAGCAACAGCAACAACAATGCGAAACAGAAAGAGAGAGAGAGTGACGTCGAAAGAAAGAGAGAGGGAGAGAGGGAGAGAGCGCGCGGCTAGTATGCCACACAAATGTTGAATAGTTGCGGAAGGTTATGAATTTCCGTGAGAAATTACTACAAGTAATATGTGAGTGCTATATGCGCATACATGTATATGCTGTCAGCGCGATTATGTGTGCATGTAGGTGTGTCTGCGTGTGTGTGTGTGTGCATGCATGTGTGTTAGCCTGATTGTGAATACAGGTCCTGTTTTAGCTCAGGCTTTAGCTGGAGTCGAAGCTGGCGTTGCTGCTGGAATTTGAATTGGTATAGGGATTGGGCTTATGCATGGCCTGTTCGCTCGTGTGTGACCACGTGAACGTCGGAGGCGTTGTTATCCATCCCACTAACACCACCCTCGTCTCCCTGTGTGTGTGTGTGTGCTCATGTGTGCATGCTGATAACAATGTTGCACTTGCTAATGCATTAATTTTAATGCATTTCGGTGTGGCATAGCTCCTATAGCTCGGCCGTTTGAATTTCCGATGCTCCCACAGGACACAAGTTCCAGTTACAGTTCACTTAATTATGTGAATGCCGTTGAGCTGCTTTTGAAGCCAGCCGGCTACAAAAGGAGCAAAAGTCATAGCCAAGTGTTGAGTTATCCATCTTAGCACTGGAGGTGCCTTGGCCTTCTACTTCTACTTCTACTTATCCTTGCTACTCATATTTATGCTGCCACCTCCCTTGGCCATTTTTATCCCTTGCCTTTTTGCATTGCTCATGATCAAAACTCTGGCAAACTGTCGTCCTCATCATTATCGCTTTTGTTTCAAGCTGCTGCTGCTGCTTCGACTGCTGCTGCTGCTGCTGCTGCTGCTGCTGCTGCTGTCGCTTCTGCCCGCAGCCAAAGAGCTATGGCAGAATCCTTTGGTCCTTTGGCGCCGGCCTGACACTTTTCTGACATTGTGCAAATGAATAATTGTGCTTTTCTTTGCCGGCAGTGCAGCCCGCCCAGCCACAGCCACAGCGACAGTCACAGCCCCGACCACAACAACTGCACATCCGTTCCACATCGCTCGCTCAATGTCTCATCATCATCGTCGTTGCTGCCGTCGTAGATGTCGTCAGCCTCGTTGCTCATTCGCTGGGCCGTTGTCATCCACATCGTCATCATCACCACCTTCCTCAGCATCATCATCATCAGCATCGGCATCGAGCTCCTCATCGCCTGTGTTGGCCGACCGCAGCCAAACAAGCAGCTAAACAGTCGCTTAGCCAGCCTGTCTACTGACCCCTTTTCAATGGGCATCCGCTGGATATGGCAATGGCCAGCGCTGGCTGGACATTGCCATCCTCTATTCCACACTGTTTGCCCATTCATTTTGTTTCTGTTTGCGCTTTGATTGACGGAGCTACGCTGAGCTGAACTGAAGCTTTAGCTGCTGTTGCTGCTGTTGCCGCCGTTGCTACTGCTGCTGCCATTGCATGTCCTTGCGCTTGTCCTTTTGCAAGCCAATGCCACTGCGCTTTGCCAGCGTTATTAATGATTTCTCCAAAGTTTTCGCTACATTTTATGCTACATCTTCTGCCCGGCTAGCCCCGGATACTCCTCTTGTTTATTCCTGTTGTTATTGCTGTTGTTCTTCTACTTCGTCTTGTTGCTGTTGCTGTTGTTGTTGGCATATTGTTGATTGTTCTTTTATCTCGTCTCTGTCAATTCGCTGCGTTATATTGCTGCGTTTCATTTGACTTTGGGTTTTGAATTTCCGCCAGCTCCCATGGGTCGCCAGCATTTTGGCTTCCTGCTCCTCATCCGCCAATCCGTTACTCGGCTCCATTTATGACCAGCAGAGCCGTTGATCCTCGACAGCCTTTTGCAGCTTGTTCTTGTCTATCTGCTCACTTGCCAGTTCCCTTCAGATAAATACTTGTCAATCAGTTATTAATTGCTTTTCAAATTTTATTGAATTTGTGGCTTCAGTTCCTCTCGCCCGCTCTGATTGACAGGCCAATGCCCAAGCTGCAACTCAACTCCATCTCCCCAGGCTAATTAACCCAGACGATTCCCACTGCCGCTGCAAAAGTTCCAAGTGCAACTGCCCTCAAAAGTCAATCAATAGCAAGGAAACAATTGCAAGACTTTTGCCTGCTGCCTGTTGTCCGTTGCCACAGAATAAATTTCCTGCCATTTTCACAAGTTGGAACTACTTTTAATTATAGTAATATATACATTTTTATATCATAATATAAAGAGAAAAGTAATAAAAGACATGAATAACTTGCTTAACAAGCAGCCGACGAAGAACTCTCTGCTCAGAAACAGCTGCTCTTTTATATGAGAAAACATTTTCATGCAAGCCATTAGCACTCTGTATGCATAACAATGCAAATAGATATATATTAGACATAAAGCTACATGTCTTGTAAAGATTGAAACCAATTCTTATAAACTTACATAAGATGTTGGCTTTTAGCAAATATGAAAATCAAAAGAAAAAGTTATAAAAAAAATAACAGCTAACAGAAATGTATATCTGCCTATGTGGTGCGACTTTATTGTCAGCTCACTTTCAATTGTCATATACTAACTTGTCAAATACATACCTATATACACACATACATAAAGAAATTTGAAGAGATAGCAGCGCATAGCCCCACAAGGTTCAACCAACAATAGACTGAAAAGTTAACAGCTAAAATAAATATTTATATTAAATATTATTTTAATAATATTATATTCTACTAATTTTAATTTATTTAAATTTCTTAATAACATATATTTTTTTTACATTATATCATATATACATATATTAAATGTAAGCTTAGTTGTTAGATGAAACGATTAAGTATATCCTCTTGAGTCTCTTACGTCTTTTTCTGTGGCAAAGTCTTCAGGCAAGTAGTTTGCAGTGAAATGTTGTTGATTGCTTGTTTCTTATGTTTGCCAGTTCTGAGTAGCTTACCTTGCCACGCAGCAAGCTGACCTGTGTGGTACGTATTTTGTTTAGCTAAAATTTTAATGAGATTCTGTAGACTTGTATTCCATATCTCTAAGTCTCTATCTGTATGTAAATATTTAATTTTTAATTGAAAGTTTGCTATTTGGCTATAGAAAATATGAAACACCTTCAAAAGTGTTTACAGAAAGCAAATGTAAAAGTTTCAGCTGCATTAATAATATATATATATATTTCTATTTTTATTTTACTTGAATTTATTCATAATACTAATATATAAAATTCTAGATTTATGTGACTCCCAATTACCTTTGCGACTTCATGCTGTTTACATTTAGAGATGTGTTCATAGGAAAAAGTCTGCACGATATTAATTCTCAGGAAAAATTGAATAACTGAAAACAAACAAACAAACTGAATCATATTTAAACAGCTTACGAAGACATACAATTTTAAAATTTTCCTATAGACTGAGAGTTCAAACTTTGCTTCTTGATGGAGAATCGAAGTGAACTGCTGCCAGTTTCAATATCAGCTTAAGCAATTGGCTTTCGCTAACTTAAAGTTGGTTTCGGTGAGCCAGAAAGCAGCTGATTAAAAAAGAAATATTTTATGAATATATATAAAGTAAACTAAATATATATAAAAATAAATTCCAAAGGTCGTGCTGATGTGTTTATCCAAGTGATTGATATGGGATTTAAAAATTCAGAGAGAGAAATACGAAACGAAATATGTCAATTTGTCAGGTGAGCAACCAGTTATCAACGACAGGCTTTCATTTAAAAGTCAGATTTCTTTGGCATGGCAATACCGATAGAGCACGTTAATTGCATTTCTTGGCCATGTGATAGACGACGACACTCGGCGTGTCAGCTGGCAGTGACACAAGACGGGCGAAATTAACACCAAGTGATGGGTGTGCGGCGAGTGTGTGTGTGAGAGAGTGTGTGCCTTGCAGAAAAAGACAAAGACTAGGCAAGATATGTTACCCACTCATGTGCAATGCAATAGAGCAGGCGCCAGCAAGCCACAGTGAATGTGATGCAGAGGAGCAAGAGCTCTTGCTGGCTGTCTGCTCAAAAGGTGTGTGTGACCACACAACTGCACACTACACACACTCGCACACACACACATGCATTCAAAGGCAGCTGTGGAACAGCGAAATGCAATTAGAAAATAGATGTGGCCAAGCCAAATGTTCATGTTGTTGGTGGAAATACATGCACATGAGCCACAACAGAGACCACACAGCGACTGTTGTTGTATGTTGGGCGCGCACTCTCCATTTCATTAAATGCGCTCCAATGTTTATTAAAATGCATGAAATACTTTTAAAAACAATGCAGAGGTCGGCAGAGCACTTTGTTGCTGTCATGTTTATGAGACAGCTGCTGCGGCAGCAGCACCAGCACCAGCACCAGCAACAACACTATTTAATGACAGCAACAACAACAACACATCTGAAAGTAATTGACTCTGCGCCTCACTAGCCAAACCAATTGCCATACAGCTGGCCAGAGCCAGCCAAAGCGATAGCTACTCACAGATAACAACGGCGACGGCAACTGCAGTTCCTGGTTTAGTTGCTCGTTTTTGGTTTACTTTAGTTCTGCATTGCTGGCTTGCAACATATGCAAATAGTTCCCATTGTTGTTGTTGTTGCTGTTGCTGTTCGCGCATCTGGCAACATCTTGTTGAGCTGTCAAAATATGCTTGTTAACAACATTTGTTGCACCGCACTAACAGCTTGAACAGCCTGAACAAACTGAACAGCTTGAATATGCTTGGACCCAGCCATGCATTAGACTAAACATGTTTACAAGGCATCAGCAACTTTTTCGAGTGCAACGCTTTTAGAAGCTGCTTTCCATTTAATTTCTGACAGCAGCATTTTCTCATGCTTTTATTTTGCTTTTTACTTGACTTAGTTAAAAGGCGACAAAAATAATCATAAGAATTGTCCGTTGCTGGCATGTGGCTCGTTCAGCTTTATCTCGTGCTAAACTTTCCATAAATAGCCAAACCCAGTTCTGACTATGCACAAGATATGTATGTGAGCACAGCCGCCGCCTTGGGCGTGCGTTTGTCTAATAGATCAGCATCAGCATCAGCAGGAGCAGCAGCAGCGACTGCAGCCACAGCAGCCGCAGCAGCGACTCAAATGTGCTTTTAGGCCATTTATCATCTGGACGCTGTCTGCAATTTCAGCGACTGGGCGGCGTTCATGTTGCAGCAACAACGGTTGTATGCCTCTGCGTTAGCGGCCACATCCTAAGCATGAAATTCGAGCGACGTGCGCGCACAAGGTGTCTGCATTTCAACGCCCCAGACTCTGGCAATGAGCTGCCCCTACAGCCCGCCCTCGCCCTACCGGCCACGGCAGCCAAATGAAACCTGGACTAACCACAAATGTTGCAGGCAGCAGGCGGCAGGCAGCGGGCAGCTTGGCTTTTGCTTCATTTTCACTGAAAATTATTCAGCATAAATCATTTTAATGTTGCGTGATTTTTAGACGGCCATTTAGCGGCCCCCGAATGTCACTTAAAATCTGCCACATTAAAAATACAACGACAGACGACTGCAAGACGAGGGTTAATCCAAGCATTTCAGCCACAAGAGCGGCCAACAAATTTCACTTAAAAGCCATTCAACATTTGTTAAATTAAAACAAATACTTTTTAACTAAATGAAAGTGTAATACAAACTTTTGAACAAAATTTTGATATTGTTTTATTAAGAGCATTTTTGTGTTCATGCGAGCCGAGGCACATAAATTGATCCAAACTGTCAAGGATTGTGAGAAGCGAAAGTTTTTAATTTATTGCATTTATTAACATTTGAGAGCAGAGCAATTCATATTCAAATTTCTTCTTCAGTTGCCTTGACAGCTGCTGACGAGACACTGAAGTAGCCAAGTGCGCACTAAATATGAGTAGAGCTAAATAATTACAGACATTAAGGCAGCCACATAAACTTTTGGCCAGATCAAAGCACACAGAGAGAGAGGGAGAGTGAGAGGGAGAGGAAGAGAGCGAGGGACAGTAGTGTCATATAGTTTATAGTTTATACAGTTGCGCTTTGAAGTTCATTTCAGCTTGGAGTTGGCATTCGCAGGAATCACATCTTTCAGTTCACAGCACAAATGATACTTTGTTGTCGTCCGTTGATTGTTGTTGTAGATATGTGGAAAAGATAGAATTTCATTAGTATTGTGGAGCGAGCAAGTTTGTCATTGTCCGCCTGCTGCTACTTACGCCATCAACTTTGGGCCGGCAGCGTGATCTTTGCAGGAAACGCATTATGTGCGGCGGCATATGTTCCTTGTACATCGCATATTGGTGCAGCACGAAGCGGCAAGAGCTAAAGTGCACACATTGGCCAACGTTTTTGTCGGGCGTCTGGCAGCTGCGGTCTGCGCATAAACAGTATAGATATCAGCACAAAAAAAGATGTGTGTGTGTGTGTGTGTGTGTGTGTATTGCTGGCCATAATCAAATGGCTGGCTTACGTGTGCGGCACAAAGTTGGCAGCAGAATGACGAGCCACAAGAAAATCAATCGAAATGTGCGCCGCATTTTGAATTTGAAATTCGGCTGATGATGTATTAAAGACGCGTTAAAGTCTTATACACTTTAAGCGGGCACAAGACACAGACTGATGCGGAAACTGGAAGCTGGGCAACAGATTGTTGCTCAAGTAAACAGCTTGGGCAACTTTTGATAAGCGTTCGCCCAGCTCACCCAGCTCGCTCGCTTGCTCTCGCGCGCGCTTATCAGCGCCGTGCAAAACAAGAGGCCAAAAAAATATGTACATAATATGTAAACAAAAGCACACACACACACACACACACGCACATATACAGCTACATGAATAGCTGAGGCAGCCATAAACACATGTTTTAGGCAGCGTATACCAGTCTGAACGAGCTATGCGGAGCCTTCCTTTGCTGCTGCATGGTCTAGGGCAAATGGATATTTATTATACATCTATGTAGATTTATTGCAAAGTTGAAAATGAGATTCAAAGCGTGTGGAAAGTAGCAGCTGGGCCAGGAATTGACTTGATGCCGCCTTTCAAGCACGTTCCTAAAATTAGCCCAGCTATTGCTAATGGCAACATTTTAAATACTAAGCCACACGAAATACATGCACTTCTATTGGTTCTAATTAAAGCCAACGACATTTAATTATGAATAAAAATAAAACTATATATTCTTATCTAGATTATAATTTGAATTTCATTTTAATGAGCGAAACCATATAAATGGACCATTTTTTGGTGCCTGCGCCCGAAATGAAAGTGGCATATTGGCTTTGGCTATTGAAGCCTGGCTTAAAATGTGTTATATATACTAATAAGTACTCTCTATGAAGTGCTATGGATGTAAACAAACATCCGTTGGGAGGGTGCCAAATCGAGTGTTTTTAGCATTCTATAAGTTGCAGTCATAATAAAATAAATAAATATATTTTTAACATCAGTAAGTCGAGCTTTCTTAGATAGAAAATTGTATGACATTAATGTGACTTTGGTCATATGATCATAGTATGCAAATCTTCCCTAGTCTAAGAACTAGAATCGTCTAGCTTAGCATTGGTATGGGATCAGTGTGAAACACCCACTCAGATAGAGCTGTAAATAGTCAACCCATTAAGGCATGGCTAAAAAGAAAATATAGATTTAAAATGCGGCCATGAACGAGTATTGTGCTCTTGGTTAAGCCTGACTGCAACATGTTAGCTTGTTTGTTTGGTTGCGCTGCAGTTGGAAGTATTTTCCATTTCCATTTTTTGCTAATGAGCAAAATAACAAAATCAGGATTATATTCAATTTCCCTTGACGCACGTACTTACATATATGCTTTGCATATATATGCACATATAAGTACCTGTGTGTGTGTGTGTATGAAGGTAGTTTCGCTGGTAAAATTTTAATAAAAATGTAAATTTTTTTGCGAGTAGCTTAAGGGGTTTCTGGCACATACAAAACCAATAAAAAGATATTACTCGTTATGAACTTGGCGGCCGTTGTGCAAAAGCTGTGCAATTTCCAGGCGCCCAGCGAGGTGTGCCTGAAGTTTGGCAGTATCATTTCATTTATGATTGGTAAGTTGAAAGTTTTTCCACTCATAATATCGTGCCTAGCAATTGTGCATCTGGGATGCTTTAAAAGCGACCTAAAGTCGACCTGCCATAAAAGTTGGCAAACATATTCAATGTTTATCTAAATATGCAGGCATGAGTGTCCATTCAAATGAATATTATAAAAGTCAAAGAGAATGTTTGATAGAAAACCTTATAGGATTCAATTTTTTGATTGCTTATTGCCAAATAAACTTAAACTCTTTTTAACACCCGCGCAGACAGATCGTAACTTTCTATAAATACTTGCCCGTCATAGCATGAATATTGACGAAATGATGACTGATTTAATGGACATCGAACCATTATCAACTACATTGCGAAATACAGACAAAAGTGATGAAAGACGCATTGTTTGCCCATAAAAGCCGCACATCATTAAATTCCTAAACCGCAGCGAGTGCCCGCTGCGTTAAGGCTAACTTGGCAACGCAGCGGCCACTAAGATCATCCTCAAGCCCCTGCGCCCAGCACATATGTAAACGTTTAAGTACGGTATTTAGATATGTGTACAAAACATGCCGGAACCGAAGCATAAAAACCGAAATGCGCATAATAAAAAGTCATCATCGTAGACATATAGAAGACCCATGTGCCTCCATCCATTGCCATGGTTTCAGCCCTTTTACAGATGTGCGATAAAACAACGCCCAGGCAACGAGCAACGGGCAACAAAGGGCAACGAAAATATGAGAAACAAAGCATAAAATAAAACACTTCGAACTTCGAGTTGACAATTTGAAGACGTCAATAAAGTTTCTAAAGCAGCTCGATGTCAACTCTATCGTTGTTGTTGCTGCTGTTTTTGTTGTTGCATGCGTTTTCGCTTTCATCGTTTTTCCCAATAAAAATTCCTTGGAAATCATTTAGAAAACGCATGCATGCACATCATGTGCACACCCACCCACACACAGACAGATGGCATCTCCCTAGCATACCCGCACCATAGATAAAACGCGTGTCAGACACGACACTGCCATGGATCATGTGTCAAATAGTGACTCGCACTTGCACCACAAACACCAGCGGCAGCAGCAGCACCACCAACAGCAGCAATAGTATCAATGACAGTAGCAACTGCAATAGCAACTAGTAACCAGTTGGCAGTTACCTGCAACAGCATCCGACGGCAGTTGCAACACTCGAAGACCGTGCCGTGTAGTTAGCTGGTGACAAAGCATAAGAAGTGCGGCAATAGACGCCGGCTCGCCCGCTCAAGTGCTCCGCTGCGAGGCGACAGCAAACGGCACACGCAAATGCACTTTTTGATTGCCTTTGGCTGCTCTTATCTCGTCTCTGGTTGTTTTTCTTATGAATACCAAAGTGTAACAGCGTCTGAGTCGCACAATCAGACTTGGAGTGTTGTTGCATTGTCGTTTTATTTGATGTTCGGGTAAAAGCTTTTATCAAAAATCGTATTGCATGCAAATTAGATTCCTCTCTGATCTCTCTCTCTGCCACTTGCAATGATGCCCTTCTTACGCTTTGAGCTCCAATCTAAAAAAAAAAAACTATACACGTTGCCTTTTATATGATGATGCCATTGTCGTTGATGCTGCAGCTGTGTAAGAGACAGCTGCAGCTGCTGCTGCTGCGGGCCTGCTGATAAAGACACCGACGACAAAGCTGCCAAACACTGATGATTCAGACATTGCATCCAAAGCTCATGCTGCTGCTTACGACCAAATTGTTGTTGCTGTTGCCACTGCCGCTGCTGCTGCGCTTTGGTCTTTTGTCGCAGGTCTCAATTGACTTGATAAACTTCTTCCTACAATTTTTTTCAATTCTATCGTACGCTTTTGCTTGTTAACGTCAACTGACTACACAATCACAGAAAAGGGAAATGCAGGCGTAAAATGAGTTCGCTTTTTCTTTGGACTCTATCGAGCACGTCTTATCTGTAGTCGCATACGTATATGGCCCATGACAGCGAAGACTGAGGCTGATATGGAGACTGCGACTAGCACTGAGGCAGCGTAACGCCGGCTTAAACACACTCGAATGCATTTCCATTTCATGGCTATGGCTTCATTGCCGCCAAACGTCGTTGTCGTCTGCCGCTTTGTCTGGTGGCTATGCGCCAACTTCCCATATAAATGAAAGAAGAAAAAATATATATAAAATGCGCTACCAAACACCGACGCTGCAGCCGCCGTCGCCGTTGCCGTTGCGTCGCCGTCGCTGACGGCAGTCAGCGTCTCTGCTGTTGGTGTTATAGCGTTCATCGAAGCTTAAGGTGTATAAATCACACACAATGCGGTCTTTTGTAGTTTCAGGCGACATACACAAACACACACACACACACACACACCACGTCCGGATGCTGCAGTGAAAAAGTGCGCAGCGCTTAGCTTTTTTGGGTCTAAATTATTGCCCAGTCGTTCCGCTTTAAAGCTGCACTCGGCAGTCGGCAGACGGCAGACGGTGTTTTGGGCCAGCTGTTCACAGTTTCCGCTTAGCATTTAAATAATAATAGAATTATAATTTATTTTTAACAATTTGTCGCACTGTTTGTAATCATTTGTTAACTGTCAAAGATTAAAAGCACTGCACTGAAGGCGTTTAAGCCGCTTAACAATATCAAGCCCAACTCGACTTCAGTTAACCCATAATGCCTCATAAACGGGGCCAGCCACTTCAGTCGCTGCCCACACCAGTCGCCTGATGAATAGCCCCAAATATTTAAGAGCTATATTTAAAATCAAATAAACACATCTGCCAACAATCAGATGCTTGCCGTACTGTAAATTGAGCTTAGTTTCGGTTTATTTAAGACTTGAGTCGACTCGACTCGATTTGACTGTCGGCATAGCATGAAATGAAAGTGCAGGCAACTGCAATGCGATCCACTCAAGTGCAAGCAGCTCCAGCTCCAGCTCCAGGCAAGCGGCTTAGCCTCGTTTCTATTGGAATTTGTTTATGGCCAATGGCAATTGGGTTATGCAGATAGAGGGGAATGAAACTGCTCTTTGGCGCACTGGCGCCATGGAAACAAATTTGTACACATGTTTCTGTCATTTTATGGAATTATGTGCAACGCAAATGACAAACGAAATAAAATCATTTTCCTGCCTTCTAGACCGAACAGACTTTTTTCCACAACATTTGCCCCGGCAAAGGCACTGTGGATGCGATTAGCGAAAGCATCGACAAAAAATAATGAAAATTAAATACAAAATATTTATCATTAGCCAATTTTCTACCACAAATTCTTATTTATAGTTGAATAATATATAAAATGATTAGAACTTCAAGTGGATTCGAAAATAAATTCAAGAGCCAACTGACGTTAGACATTAGGCAAATGTTCTTGGCTTGTACGTGCCTCTCGCAATGTCATCATAAATCAGGCCATTAAAGTATTATTTCACAATCAGTGGCAGAGTTCAAAAGGTTACAGAACTTCTGGCTGCCAAAACATCAAATGCCAGCCAT